TGTTACGAAAAATGCTGTGACAGGTGGGATGTATTACTTATGGTGGTTTAACAAACAAAAAAAGCTCTGATTCGGAGAGTTCATAGACATGGCTCGAGACGATCTTTAGTATCTTTGCTAGAAGAACGGGAGGGGATTTTCTTACTTTAAGATCTGACAGGCTTGACAACTGCCGATATTGTTAAATTGTGTTTTAAAAATAGTGGACTTTTAAACAACATCGTCTTCCAATTACAAGAAAATAACGACCTTCTTAGGGAGAAAGTTCATTTACTTGAGGAAAAACTGGAAAAATTTGAGGAAAAATTAGCTAAGCCGAAAATGCTAGAAGAGGTTAGGTTTATCTCCGCAGCCTCCGCCCCCGCAGGAACTTGCCCCACAAGTCAAACTTCAACAAAATCATCAAATGTCAAAGTCATCATCAGTGACGTCAACACCAAGGAAATATCAAATATCAAGGCACCGGTTCCATGCGTCGTCACAAGTGGTACTGCAATTATGGTAGCAGATGCCAAAAATGATGCTGCAGAACCTGACATTGAATACCGAAGAAAAGCCAACATAACCACAAACAATAAACGTCAAAATGGCAATCGTCGTAATAATGTAAACACTGGGATTGGGAACCAAAACAAAAAAAATGAAAAGCGGAATCAAATAACTCTTGCTCAAGTAAACAAAGCAGTTGATTTAGCCATCAAACCCATCGAGAATGATAAGCAAAAACATAATGGCGAACTACAAAAATCAAATTCTGCTGAAACTACTCCAACTTCAACTGGGCAATCAGAAGAAAATTGGAAGCTTGTTAGCTACAAAACAAAACATAAAAATATAATGCTGCAACATAATCGTCCTGATCCAGTAAGAGGAACAAATGAAAAACAAAATGGTCTACAGGTAGCTGAAAAAAGGTATTGGATATTTTTGTCTGGGTTTTCAACTTCAATGGAAGTAAATAATATCAAGGATTTCCTTAATAGTCAACAACTGGGAAACGATCTATATTGCGAAAAAATGCACACAAAAAAGGACGGACAAATGAGTTCTTTTAAACTGGGTGTGCCCCAATGCAATAAAAACAAAATAATGGATCCGGAACTTTGGCCAGTTGGTATCTGCATCAACCATTTTCTGAGTCTACAACGCCATCAGATACCGAAAAACAATCTGAGAGGTTAGATAGCCAAAACAAGAAGGTAGAGCATGTAATTTTTCACCAAAATATGCAATGCCTAAAAAATAAAATCCTTGAACTTGAAGCAGTATTAGAGGAAATGAATCAACAACCCACCTTTGTTGCGGTAACCGAACATTGGTTTACGGAGATGGAAGTCCAGTGTATGAACATAAATGGGTATAAGCAAACATCCGCTTTTGCAAGGAAAGCAACGACACATGGAGGTTCTGCGATTTTTGTACATTCCAATAATGAAGCAGCAGAAGAAACCGAAATTACGGCAAGAAGTGTAGAAGGAGTCCTGGAATGCTCATCGATCGTAAGTGGGTCCGCTGAAGTAGTGGTTATTGCTATCTATAGGCCCCCGCAGGGTGATATTGATCTCTTCTTTCAAATTCTTACAGATATTCTTGCTATTTGTCAGTTGAAATTTTCAAGTCACAAAACTATACTCACAGGTGACTTCAATATTGATTTGCTGGATCAGTCCTTCAGGTCAAAGAAATTTAAAGACCTCTTAACAAGTTTTAATTTTAATCAAACTGTATTTGAGCTAACAAGAATAACAAATACATCCAAATCACTTTTAGATAATATTTTCATCAATTTTATAAACCCATTTCAAGCAGAGGTTGTAGCAACTGCTCTATCTGATCACGAGGCTCAAACTCTGAGGGTCGTGAATGCGGTCGCCCCAGAGTGCAACTTCATGCCCTTCAAAAAGCGCTCTTTTTCAGATGGTAGATTGTCTCACTTTAAGCTTGAATTGCAGAGGGTGGATTGGTTTGAAGTGTATTCTCAACAACAGGTAAATACTGCATACCATGTTTTTAGCAGTATTTTGGCTCAATACCTCAACCTGATATTTCCTGAGAAAACCATTAAAGCCAAACCAAAAAAACCTAAGTACTGGATGACTTGTGGGATTAAAATTTCTTTAAAAAACAAACGAAATTTGTACAAAGAAATGATAAGGGGTAGTATCACAAAACATTTTTTTAAAAAATATTCAAATATCTTAAGATCAGTTATAAGAGAATCTAAAAAAAGAGAAAATATAAACTTTATACAAACTTCAAAAAACCCAGGAAGAGCAATATGGACATTGATTAACTGGGTACAGGGAAACGGGGAAAAAAGAAAAGAATCGTTGCTTGAAAACTATTCCAAGAAATACCCAAACAAAGAAAAGAATGTTATACTAAATGAAATAAATGATTTCTATATAAACCTATGTCCTGACCTCAATACAAATATAGATGGCATCTCAAAAAATATACCTTTTTACCCAAAAAATTTATTTTTAAAACCTACAAATGCTAATGAGATCAAGCATGTCATATCCAAATTAAAAAATAAAAAAGCAGTAGGGCAAGATCAAATCCCAGTCATTTTAATCAAAAAAGTGGCAGATGAAATTGCTGAACCACTGTCTCATGTAATTAATTTAATGCTTGTCACAGGAGTATTTCCAGATAAACTGAAAATAGCCCAAATTATTCCAATTTATAAGAAAGGAGACGCTCAGGAAATAAAAAATTTTCGACCAATTGCACTCTTGAATAACTTTAGCAAGATATTTGAGAGGATAATATATGATCGCGTTATTTCGTTTTTTGAGAGTGAGCAGTTGCTCTCAACATATCAGAATGGATTTAGGAGGAAAAAAAGTACCACCAGAGCTATTTATCAGGCACTAACTAAAATCTTGGAGTCCCTTAATGGGAGAAACGAGACAGTGGCGATGTATTTGGATTTGTCTAAAGCTTTTGACAGTGTTAATCATGATGTGCTGCTAGCAAAACTAGAAAGGTATGGATTGAGGGGCGTTCCTTTACAACTAATATCATCTTATCTATTTGATAGAAAGCAGCAGATTATTGAAAGACACAATGGGGAAACATTAACATCAATTTCTAGCCAGGTCAAAAAAGGTGTACCTCAGGGATCAATCCTTGGACCACTGCTGTACATTATCTATACTAACGAGCTTGCAAATATAACTGATCAGTTTACGGTCCAGTTTGCGGATGACACTTCAGTAGTCTTTTCGGCAGAACGAATGGAGGAATTGAGTAACAAAATTCACACAACTTTGAGTTCCTTTCAGGGTTGGTTTGACTCAAATAACCTGGTTTTGAATGTCGAGAAGACACAGCTACTACGTTTCTCATATCAACGGGATTGGTCTCCCACTCAGTTTGTTTGCGGTGATGGTATACCTTTGAACACTACAAGATCGGCCAATTTCCTGGGGGTCAAGGTAGATTCACGGTTGGACTGGAGTGACCATATTGACTGCCTGGCTGGCCAAATATCAAGGCACTGCTATGCCCTGAGGGTGCTGGCACGTGAGGTAAATTATGAGGTTGCATTAACTGCTTACCATGCTTACATTCAATCAAGATTGAGGTATGGAGTTGTATTCTGTGGTAATAGTCCCGAAGTCTCTCGAGTTTTTATTGCACAAAAAAGATGTATAAGAGCAATATTTGCTATGTACCAGACAGATAGCTGTAAACCCATATTTAGGGCTCACAACATATTAACATTACCAAGTCAATATATCCTGGAAGCAGCATTGTTTGTTAAGCAAAATCCTGACCTTTTTCTTGAGCACATTAGGGGGCATTGCTATGATACAAGGGGAAGGACTGATCTTGTCAATGTGAGAAGCAATTTTACTTACATACAAAAAAACGTTCAATTTTCAATTATAAAAATTTTCAACAAGCTACCTTCAAATTGGCAAAGCTTGCAATTCGATAACCTTAAACATAAGTTGAAAAACCACTTACTTCAGAGGGCTTACTACTCGGTGGAGGAATTGTATGAGGACAATTTGAACAACGAAAATTGAAATGAGGTTCAAACCAATATATGTATTCTGATGCTCAGTATTGTATTTTATAGTGTATTTTCATGTTGTATTTTATTTTATATTGTATTTTTATATTCTTATATTTTATATTTTAATGTGTAGTATTGTATAAATGTTGTTTTTTCTTTTTTTTCTTAAATGTGCTCGTGACTTAACTTGTTTATGATTTTAAACTCAAAACAGTCAATTCAATTTATATTTGGCTTGTAATGTTGGATTAGGGTATTTTTAAATTGACACGTTCTATGTCCGAAAGGGCTTTTGTGATAATTTCTTTATATTTACAATTATGGAACAAATAAATGCTATGAAATGAAATGAAAATAAAAAAACATGGAGGCTGGAGGAGGATTTACTGTAGATGAACGCTGTATAGAAAAATCCGTAGATAGAAAGATTGAACTCCATCGTAGGCTATTTAGTCATTCAAAATCAGATAATGCATTAAAGTCCACGGTTACAACGAAAGAGACATCAGCTTAATCATCCTTGACTTGTGCAATGATTTTCCGTAGAAGTCACTCGGTTTATGTGAGCCCTTATCAACCAAAGGTACTAAGAAGAATGGTCATTTCTTTCGCAAGAATTTTATTATGGCTTACCGGTTTCCGCAGCGATGATTATGCTCTACTTATCGGAACTAAATTCTCTAAATATTTGCCACTATAGAATTTTTAGATCAGGCTTTAAAAAAAAATGATAAAAAATTAAGAGATTTTCTTTACTATGAAATAAAGACAGAATTTGTCACGCAATGCCAAGTACAAAATTCTACAATGCATCCTACAGAATAAAAGAACAGGATATGATATCATGATTCGCTGATCGTATAGACTGTGAGAATGTTTTGAGTTATTAGTCAGGTAATTTTATTGAGCCCTAATTCCGATCGAATATTTAACAAATCACATAAAATCGATTAAAGAATTTCATACATACCATCAAAAGCAAGAGGGTGAATAAATCTAATTTCATTAAAGCTGAAAAATATATTCACGGCATGCCGCTTGTCAATCAGGTGCCTGAAAGCTCTTTCAGGCACCTCCTTAATGGTGTTGTTTTGAAAATATAATGATTTTAGAAGGGGCGTTTTATTGAACCATTTCCAATTGTAGCGGGAAATACGGTTGCTTAATAGGTTTATTTCCTCAATATTCTGCATATAACTGAGGGCCTCGGGCTCTATTGTTTGAATTCTGTTGAACGCCAGGTTTAGGTGGGTGATAAGTAGGTCATTAAACACTCCTAAAATGATATTAATTATAATATACTGTAAAGCTCAAATACATGAGTTGTAGGAATACAAACGAAGAACATATGCTCAATTTTTCAAATATCACCAATTTCTTTCACCTAGATATTTTAATCACACAGCGATAAATGCTTTATGATAAGAATGCAAGCCTAGATTTTAATACCTCTCCACTGCATTTTGAAAGTTTATTCTTAACTCGTTCAACTATCTATTGAGCTTCGGAGAAAAATCCCAATATTGTGGTATAGGTAGGTATGCTGAATTTTTTTTTCTTGACAAAATTAATGTAATATTTCTACTATAACAAATTAATTTCGCATGTCCTTCATTCATACGACTCATTATTATTAATTTCTGTAAAATAATAATTAACTAGTTAAACATCTTAATCGATTACTTTAGATTGATCATCAAAATTGTTTTTTACCTTCTTTAATGATTTCTAGTTTATTTCTTTGAAAGTCAATTTTCAAAACTGACAAAGAACCATAAAAAGCACCAGGTTCGATATCATGGAGGCCACAATTCCATATTACTAACTCCTTTGTGTGTTTAAGTCGCGCAAAGTAAAATTTATATATCTTTGGAAACACTTGTTCATGGATTTCGACTTTTACATGTGACGTTAACATAAATTCCCGCACCGCCGTGAAGTTGTCAAAAGTTTTACAAATCCTCGAACTTCCAGATTCAAAATGATAACACAGCACATATTGATTTGAACTGTTATAATTTGTGATAATATCGTATGCACAATTTGTCAAGGTTAAACAAGCGAATAGCCATAATGCTATTATAAGACAAGATTTAAACATGATTCTGATATTTTATTTAATATTATCACTATAGTCATATCAATATTGTTTCGTAAATAACCTTGAACCCCAGTGTCAAATTTAGTTTACTTATCAAGACAAACGTATACAGGGTGACAATTTGAGAAGTAGTAATCGGAAATATCTCTCAGACGAAAAATACTATCAGGAAGATCTCAAATACGTATTGGGAGATTGGAGGAGGAACCAAAATGAGACAATTTTTGGGTCACCCCTTAGGAGGTAGCTACTCTAACTTATTTTACCTTGCGTTGTACATCGTTGGATAGCTCGTTGCTTTCCCTTTACAGTCTTACAGCGAAATTCTTAATCGTACGATTAGTTTTTGAGATATCGGTGTTTAAAAGTAAGCAACATTTTTGAAAACTGGTAATTCCGACTATCTGTTAGACAAAAGAATTCTGTCATAAAAGTCTCAAATACACATCGGAGAAACCAGATAATTTGTTTATTACCTAACCCGCACCCCTCTTGTCTTAGTAGCTAACCGCTCCTAATAATTTTTCTAAAGTGAAAACCCACCCCGTGTGATACCTTCTTTAATCCAACGATGTACAACACAAGGTAGGTTCGTTAAAAAAATAAATAAGGGTAAAGTCCATTGATAAAGTCTATAGACTTTTTCGAGTGCGTGATCTGAGATTTTGGTCGCTGATTGGCCAAAATTAGGGGTCGACTTGGTCGATCAGCGCTCAATTTAAACGATTAACCCAAGACCCTAGTGAGGCCCCAAAATTTAGCCAATCAGCGTCCAAAATCTCAGATCACGCACTCGAGAAAGTCTATAGACTTTATGCACGGACTATAGCTACCCCCTAAGGGGTAAGGCGGGGGTGATTCAAAAAGTGCCTCATCTTGGTTCCTCTCTCCAATCCCCCGATACGTAATTTAGATCTTCCTGAGAGTATTTTTTGTCAAGGGATATTCCTGAATGCTACTTTTCAAATTGTCACCGTGTATACTTTTATAAATGTATGCTTATTATTATCAAAGCAATACATGTGATAAATAATAGGTGCAGATGAATAAAATATCTTTTCCATATCCCAAGGGGGCATCAATCAATTATTATCGAATAATCCACGTCAACGGTGGCAAAAATATATAAGGTAAAATAAGAGCTACACACGGGTACATGTTTCACATGTATAAGGAATCATCAGATCTTGCCATATAAAAACCCAAAAAGATATAAAAATTATTTTACATGGAAACAAACAGTAAACAAACAGCAAGAAGACAATCAATGGAATGTCACTATAAGTAAACGATAAGCAATCAAGAATCAAGATGAAGGGGAATCCGTTGGCACTGACATTACGGGGCAATGCGCTGTAAATTGTTCAGAATATTTCTAAGGTTAAACATAGTGATTACGTTGCTATTATACAGTGTTTATCAGGCTTGACTACAAAAATTTTAACACGCGAGAATATGGCCCATTGTGAACAAAAAAAGTTAATGTAACATGGAGTTCAAACTCAACCATTTTTAAGAAAAAGGCCTTTGAAGTTTTGACATTTTTTGACGAATATTTGAATGATAAAGAAAATTTTAATTATTATGAGATCTGAAATAATTAATTTAATTTAATTATGAAGTAATTATGCATTTCTAGTCAAAAACAAGAAATAAAAATTAAAAAAAAAAACATGACAATGTTAGTCGTAATTCAGTTTCTAAATACCTGGCAATATAGCACAAGAAAAAATAAGCGGTCAGTTACTTGAAGTATTGAAAACCCGCTTACCTAATTCATTCTTTTTTTGAAAATAAAATGTTTACAGAAGTCAAATTTGCAGATATGATACTTGTTTACGGAGAATCGTTACATTAGCCGCCAGAATTTACAGGGAAAGATTTCCCAATAGGACGGCACCTAATGAAAGAACATTGTGCCCAACGCTGTTTTGTTATTTTTATGTATGTTATTAGAATGGATGAATATCCATATAATATTGAAGAAATCACAGAATCCGAGGATGTAGTGCAAAACTGCATCTATGAAGATGTAAATAATTATTCTTCAACTATGCGCACCAAGAAAAAATGTGATGAAAGAGAATTATTTAACAGCCAGTGGTGTAACAGTGGAATTAATAGATACAGTACCATAACAAAAACTAACTGGATTGTGAGATATTGTCACAACCCCTATAGGTTTCGTCCTGGGACGTCTCAACAGGATCGTGACTTGGGGGCGTAGGTGGGGTTCAGGTAGAGAGAAACTCGCTTGGTATAGGTATAATAAGATGTGTATTGAATAATAATAGTATTGCCCTAGAAATGGTATCATGACATCTCTTCTACGGAGGGACGTACTACTTATAGTCCACTCTTGTATTATGTACCCTCTGTACACTTGGCGTGACTGAAGACTGAAGCTGGCTTTGAGACAGGTCCAAAAGGGCGTTTCTCATTAAAGGTAGTTTGCACTGGACCTAGTCTGCTGCCTTCAATGCTCCCAGAAGAAGCTTAGGTTTGAGACAGGTCCAGAAGAGCGTTTCCCATTAAGGGTAAGTTGCACTGGGAGGAGACTTAGCTATAGGGGCTTTTCCCATTAGAGGTAGTTTGCACTAGCCTTAGTCTGCCGGTAATGGATTTCGGCGCTGTATTTATACCAAATAAATGCTGACTCGTCGACACACTTTGGTAAAATTGACGTACAGAGTGGTATTTATTTAAGTAGTTGACAATATACATCACCTCATCCTCAGAAGTATGAATATAAGAAGGTAATTAAATGTCATCATAGCAGCTTTAATGAAGTGGACTGTAAAAACAGAAAAGAAAGCAGGGTGAGAAATCGAAATTGTGACCTTAGCATTTCATTTTCAATTGAAAAAATTAATAAAAATACTATAATAAACGATCACTCATTGAAGAAGGGATTGAATATTGTCATAAGCGTAAGTGTTTGATAGTCAATATAATTCCATACCTACTGTAACGCTTGTGTTAGCGCTGGTTTACCTAAACGTTAATAAAAGTTAATGTTGTCTCTTTGGTGGTAGCTAACGATCGTTAAAAAAAAAATAAAGAAACCTTAGGGGTGGGTTGTTCATATAAGAAAACATAAATAAATAAAACAATATAATGCTTACTACATTGGGGAAGTATTTAATAAAGTAGGTAGGTATCTCTAATCAAGCCCACTTCTTGATTTGTACAATTTATAAATACCTTGGACAAATGGGATAATTTCGGAATCAACTTATATCTACTCCCTATACTAATTACCTAACTACTTAATACTTAACTTATAAGGAACGATGTTCAGACTTGACCCTGTCTTGTTTCGCAGACAAGGATGTACAACAGGGGCTTTGGCTACGATGCAGAAAAAGAAATCAAAAAGGTCGGAATAACGTCCACGTTTGATCTAATCGCCTGGTATCGGGCCGGGCTACTCTGTAAGCAAGTGGCCACTATGGCAAATGGTACCCACGTGGTCGGAGAGTCAATGAACTAGCTGGATGGATAATTTGGACTCCAATTATGGTGGTTACAGAAGCGATGCTAAATGGTTCTGGCATAATTTTTGTGGGAAAAGTTAGCTGACTTACCCAAGAATAGTATTGAAATTTAAAACATACCTGGATCACGATGCACACGAGGGTAAAACAACTTTTCGGCAATAATCCAGCACTGGGCTGATAAAGAAAATATCAATGATATTTCTCAAGAAAAGGCACAAATGTATAATCCTGATATCCAATATCCTATGACAATTCAAAATTCGGAAACTTAGAAAATTTGTCGCTTTTAACTCGAGTTGTTACCCAGATGGCTATTCGCACAGAAAAGAAAATGTATGGACAATCCATAGAATAAAACCCCATAATGGTTCCCATCGTAGAAATAGAGCGGAAGGTTCCGTAGTACCGTAAGACTTTGGTAGTACCAAGGTTGACAAGGACTAGACTAGGCACAGGGCGAAATAAGCGAAATAATTGCAATTGAAAAATCATTCAATGGTCAGCACACCTGCTATTAGGCTTGCCCTTGAGTACAGACCTGGGTGAGATGGTACCGATTCCACCGCGAAAATAATCCGGCCCGCGGCGTCGAACAATCATGCCCAAATATTCTACGATGTACGATGACGATGCATAGATGCTCGCAGAAGCAGAACAATGGAGATTATTAAATTCATCACAACATTGCCTGCCAGGATAAACTGTGTAATCAAAGATGCACCAATTAATATCTAGTATAAAGTACCCACATAACAAAATTGCATCCTTAGAATGTATTAAGAATGTTCTTTTTTTAGCAGGAATGTGCCTAGAATGTTCGCCAAAACCATTGCGAATGTCCTGAGAATGTTCTGAGAAAAGATTGTAGAAATACTGTTTGCAATACCCAAGAACTTCCTGGGAAATCCATTAGGATATTCCTAGAATATACCTATGAGATTCTCAGTACATCCTGAAAAGGATATTCGTGTTTGATTCTAAAAATATGCTCGAAATGTATATTCTCACATTCAAAGAATGTTTTTATGACATTATAGTTATGTTCTCAAAAAAATATTATACCAATATGCTTGAAATATTCTTAGAATATATCTACATATATCATTCTCAATATGCATCCTAGACATTCTTGTTTGATTCTAAGGATATACTTGGAATATTAATTTTCGCTTCCAAATAATGCTCCATTCAACCTTTTTATATTAAAGGCAAGTATTTAACCAAAGCTCCAGTTTCGAGCTTGATATGCTTTCGTCGAAGCACGCCAACTGAGAGAAACAGGTTCCAAGGTGATTCAAACGCGAGGCAAGATGTAGATCTTTAATAGCGCGTGGCTCCCTCTCTTGAAAGTCCTACAAAGCAAAAGAAAAAGAATATACCTATAATATTCTTAGTAGGTTCTAGAGATAGAGCATTATTGTTTAATTGTTCAATCAAGATTTTTGAGTAGGTACTTTAGATAATTAGGTGAACAATATGAAAATATTCTTATCATGGTTACCTACCTACATAAA